AGGAGGAGGAGGAGGAGGAGGAGGAGGAGGAGGAGGAAGGTGGCCATCTTCTCGAATCGGGGGGGCTCCCCCCCAACTTGCCACCTCTTGAGGCGTGTAGAATGCATGCCACACAGTCAGCGGGGCTCGATGATGGATCTGGGCGGCCCAGTGGCGGGGTCTCGTTCTGCGTCTATAATCCGCTCAGCGCGAACAAGAGCCGCTCCCAGGATGTGATAGAGGAGTTGAGCAACATAGATTTCATCTTCCTCATTGGGACCCAGAGGAGGACCAGCGGAGACCTGCTGGAGCCCATCGCCACCACCAGGACGCACTGGGCAATGGAATGGGGTTGGCATAGCAGTCAGCATGTGAATAAAAGTTGTGGATTGAGTATATGGGTTCAGAGTCGACGTTTCCCGAAATGTTGTATAAGAGGCTTCATCCCAGTACCCAGAGGTTTACGAGGGCGGGTGGCAGCATGTAAGATCGAGCGGGGGCCTTTGAGGCTGCTATTGGTTGCACTGTACTTCCCTCCCTGCCCCAATCGAGGACGAGCCCCGCGAGAACGCTGGGAGAGGACGATTCGCACGATGGTGGGATGGATGACAGAGTTATTAGCGGCAACCTCGGCTCGATGGGCCCCGATCATCGGCACCGACATGAACGCGCAGTTCAGCAACGTAGAAGGGGTCACAGGGCTGCACAACCTAGGCAGCTTCACATTCACCACGGAGCAGGTCGCCCCGTTGCTCATGGCTCACGAGCTGGCCGTGGTCAACACGCATTTTGCACGGGGGGGACCGACATATTTCAACAAGGGAGTCGCCAAGACGCTGGACTACCTGATGGTGCCTCAGACATGGATAGGCGCAGTCAGATGGTGTCGAACGCTCACATCCAGCGCATGGAGACTTCAGGTGCACAACCTCAGCGGGATTTGGGACCACGTGCCCGTCGCAGCTTCGTTTGCACTGGAAGTGGTCGCCGAGCCCTACGCTGAGAACAAGAGGGTGAAGCTTGACAGGGTGAGCATGGCGAAGATGCTTCAGCTCGGCGACAACCGTCGGGCATTTGTACAACATGTGGAGTCTGAACTTCGTGAGCGGCGGGAAGAGCTTGCGGCCACGATGTGGGAGGACATACCAGACTTTGTGAATTCAACGATCCACAAGGCGATCGAGAATGCGGCCACCAAATGTTGCACGACGACAAGAGGCTACACTGAGGATCACAAGGCACACGCCAAGGAGGTTCGACAGCTGCTGTGGGAGCGTCGCAACATTCGTTCGGAATTCCAATTTTTGAGTGAAGAAAGCAGGCAGGAAGGAGATGAGTCCCTCGACCGCGAGATGAAGGCGCTGCAGCTGACCTTCAGGCTGCGGCGAATCAGCAGATGGTTGAGACAGCAACGGCAGAAGTATTGGCGAGAGATCGAGGAGTTGAGGTGCGATGAGTTCATGAGAGCGGTCAAGTCGAACGATTTCTACACAGTGCACAAAATGGCGAGGATGCTGGCCCAGAGGAGACGAGGCGGACGCAAGCGAGTGCACGGGCGACACCATGTGCCAGGTTCCAACGAGGCCTGGACGGAAAAGATGAAAAGAAATGGGCCAGATGGCGGATGCTCGGCAGTGGAGACAACTATCGCAGATATTCAGGCCAGAAGAGGACGAGCGGTACGACAGGGGGTTACTGCCGAGGAAGTTGAGGAGGAGATGCAGGGGATCAAGAGAGCGATATGGAAAGCACGGCTGTGGAGAAGTTATCCAGAATGGAGTTCGAGTGTAGAGCTATTACGATGTCTTTTTTTCCCGCAGTGGGTGAATGAGAGGATGATGGTTCAGCGTACTGGCGTTGGGCATGAGAGCGAGTGTGAGAACCTCTGTACGCCAGTTTTTTACATGTACGTGCGTCAGATGGTGGAGGCTATTATGATTACCCAGAGATTTCCAGTGGACTGGTTGAGAGCGAAGGCGGCGAAGATAGACAAGGGGAACGATAAAGAGGGGGCTGACGGAGAGCGAGTAGTCATGGTTATATGCAGCTTGGCAAAGTTTTACTACCGACACATCATGATGAGAGCAGATATCACAGGAGCACCGTCATGGGCCTATGGAGCACTGAAACATCGACGACGGGAAGGAGCCATAGTGGTCCAACTATGCGGGGCATGGAGGTTGAAGGCCGCAGGAGTCCAGCACGCCAAGAGGCTCCATGACGCGGCGAACGCATTTTTCTCGGTGAAGACGGGTAAGCTGTTGCAGGTCGTGTGCGCCCACATGAGGCACGAGCACATCACAATGATGATAGATCGCGTGAAGCACGCGCACTTTGTCTTCTCCGATACCACCGACCAGATGCTGTGGATGCGAGAGGGATGCATGCCTGGCGACCCTGCTATGGTATTTCTATTCGTTATGGCTTACGTTCGGGGGCTCGAAAAATACGCACTGAAGGCGAGAACATGTATAGAGGTTACTTCACCATGGACAGGGAGACAGGAGCAGGCGGCCATGAGTTTATTTGTTGATGATATATCTGGTACGTTCAAGTTCAAGACCGAGGGGGGGGCGGTGGTGGAGGGCAAGAGGCAAAACATTGAGATTTCACAGGCATTAAACGAGATGGGGCTGGGCCAGAACATTTCGAAGCAGGAGACGGTCCCATACTGTTGTGGGCGAGGGGCGTACTATCTGGAAAAGATGATTTTAGCGGACGGGGTTTTTGAGGGACATGCAGCAGCAGCAGCTAGATATTTAGGAGTACGAATGACAGCGAGATTCTCGGTGCAGATCGAGATGGGGTACCGCATTCGCGCAGGAAAAGCAGCCTGGGCCTCCATGGGCAATTTCTGGACCTCGAATGTTTCCCAGAGGTGGAAAGTTTCGATTTACAAGGGATACGTCGTCAACGCGGTGATCTCGGGCATAGAAACGTTCGTCAAGCCCCAGGGCCCTATGAAGGTTCAGGACTTCGCGGGGCTCGAGAGCTATGTGGCGAGGAGGGGGCGAGTCGTTCTAGGAGGGGTCGCGTCCACCAGGGAGGATGGGTCCAAAAGGGCACCCAGCAACCTCGAGGTCCTCGCGAGGCTCGGGAGCGCCAGTATATTTGTGGAGGCCCGCATGAGGAGGCTTAAGTGGTTACAGAGTTTGATGGCCGATCTCGAGTCGGCCGATCAGCTACTGGGAGTTGTTTTCGGGAAGCTCAAGAGCGGGGACATGGAAACGCCGTCGTTCCTGGACCCAGAGGCTAAGTTGAACCCGTGGGCCCAGCAGTGGCTCCAAGATGTTCAGGAACTGGCGTCGTACGAGGACGGCGACTCTTTCTTATCGTATTATGATCACGATCCACGCCGGGCGATCTTGGAGGGTAGGGAAGAGTTCATCAAGCTAAATCTGACGGGCATGCGAGCGCACTTCATTCACCATAGAGCCGAGCACGAGCCTGAGCACGCACAGTGTCAAGTAGGCGGGGAGTTCCAGTGCTGGGCAGAAGATGACGCAGGTAGACCTTGCCAGGCACGTTTCCCAGACCGAGCGAGGCTGTGCTCTCACTACGTGCACACGAAGGGCGGCACGCATGGCAAGAGAATATTGTTTAGAGTCACATGTTTCAGCAATATGTGCACGATTTGCGGCACGGTCTTCACCACGTACGCGCAGGCGCAGAAGCACATGCACAGGGCGTTCGAGAGAGGACTATGCGTAGACCGTGCAAGATCAGGGAATGAGATCAGGATGGTGATTTCACATTGCCGTTTATGTGAGTTCGTAGCGGACGAGGCCCAAGAGTTGCGTCGACACATTTTAGAGTGCCACCTCAGCCCGTACATTCAGGGCCACCAGCTCGAGTTCGATGGCATGGCTACTGCAACACTCAGGGCAGCAAGAAGGCACGACGCAGCCGTCAGGCAACAAGAAGAGCAAGACCAAGGAGTCAGACGAGGTGATCACGCGACGGCTGGCAGTACAGCTCGAAGCGCGGGTGAGGACACTCGAGTATGCGCAGACCGTTCAGATCTACCTCCCGCACGACCACTTGTTAATCGAGGACGGGCGCAAAGTGTACCAGAGGTACTTGGACACCGTGAAGGAAGAAGGACCACAGCACGAGAGGGGGCCGCCAGAGTTGCAGATTTTCGGCTCCAGTCTGTCCGCTATCGCGAGCTGGTTGAACGAGGGATCGTCAAGCCCAGCCATGAAGAAGTTCAAGGGCGTCCCCGAGCGCCTGCTCCTGATGATGAGCCACACGGACGGGACGGGGGCCAGCGAGTGGGTGAAGGAGTACGGGTTTTCGCCGACGTACGACCAGAAGAAGGCCAGGCTGACCCTCACCCTCCTCGGACAGGTGCTCGTCGGAGTGACGGCAGAGGCGGCAGAGAAGCTGCTCAAGGAGCAAAGCGAGGCTTGGGGGAACGCCGCGGCGGAGGCCAGCCTGCAGAAGAGCCCACTGGAGATCGTCCCGTTCACGAATGGAGTCAAGCTGATGGGTCTCAACAGCGTGATGAGTCACATACTGAGAGAGTGGGGAGGTGCCCGCAAGCCAGGCCGCGCGCCCAGAGGCGAGATGGCAAAGCTGTTGCAGGGCAAGAAGTAGACGGTGAGGGAGCTTCTGTACGAGGCTCCGCGGCCCGCGCGGGCCGTCAGCGGGCGGGGGCTTCGGGCAGGGCGTCTTCCTCTGGTCCGAGGGCCTTCGGCCCCTGCGGCTGAAAGGGGGTGGACCCTTGGTGGTTCCCCCATTCGGCCGCCGCCTTCTGGCGGCGTTCCGCCCCTGTGTGCTCGGAACTCCGACAGCAGGGCTGGATCCGAGGTGGAAGCTTTAGCTCTAGGTGCGTAGAGTTGCCCAGCGCCAGTGTGCTCGGTTGAGATTCGGATCAGTGAAGGCGCGAATGGGATGGGTAAGTAAGTAAGGAGGAGGAGGAGGCGGAGGAGGAGGAGGAGGAGCAGGAGGAGGGGGAGGAGGAGGAGGGGGAGGAGGAGTGGATGTCGCCCGCCGTCCGACGCCCGTCGTCGCCTCAGGGGCCACAGCGGCGCGGGCCAGCCCGCCGTGCAGCCCGGCAGCGCCGCGGGCCCGGCCGGGGCGCAGGGCGGCGCCGCGGCGCCCTCCGAGCACGCGGGCGCCGCGGGGGACCCGGGCAAGGCCGGCCGGCCACCTTTTTTCAGGAGGGAAAGAAGCACACAGACACCATGAATCGTCGATTCCCCAGGAAGACAAGAGGGAGGGGGAAGTGGGGGGGAAGACAAGACCTCAGAACGTATGGGAAAGCATGGGGTGCTTTTCAATTTTTTGTGCGTTCCTTTGTGTGTCCTGGGGCCCCTTCAATTTTGGAGAGCGCCAACTGTGCACCAACACCGATTTTGGCCAGGCCGATCGTGGGCCCAAGATTGCTGTGCATACCGTCAAGACGCTGAGATGAGGAACAGTTTGGGCCCGGAAGGGGCTCGATGCTCCTTGGGTTCCTCCGGTGCTGTTCCTCTTGCCCTCCTGGGGCACGGCCAAGAAAGGGCTTCGTTCCTCATTCAGCGTTCCTTCTTTCAGCGGCCCGGCTGTAGCTGCATGCCCAAGCAATTTTTGGGCGTTGCGTAATAGGGGGGTCATAAATGGGGGGGTGGCGAGGGTGGTCCGAAAAGGTACCCAAACGGTGCCTAAACGAGCCCCCTGGGGCTCCGGAGGGGCCCGAAAGGGGCACGAAAGGGGACCGTTTCTGACCCCCTTATTTGTGACCCCCCCATGAAGCCACGCCCAAAGCAAGCAGGGCAAAATGCACTGCTCTTGGGCACAGCGAGCCCGGCCAGGCTCGGTGCTCGTGCACAGAGGGCCTCCTCCCAGAGCTGCCGAGGAAGCGGTACACCATGGCGCGCTCCGTCGCCAAACAGCAGGAGGGGAAAGAACACACAGACACAATGAATCGTCGATTCCCAGGAAGACATGGGAAACTATGGGAAGTGGGGGGGGGGGGAAGACAAAAACCAAGAAAATATGGGAAAATCTGGGGAATCATTCTATTTGTGTGTATTCATTTGTGTGTCCCAGGTCCCCTTCAAAAAAGAGGCGGCGCTGGCCTCCTTTTTCGGAGGTGCGTTCCCCGGTCCCTGGATTTGGCGCCCACGCGCCAGATCCACGGATCCGCAACCCATGGCAGCTGCGCCCGCAGTTGTGTCGGGTCGGGCGAAAGGGGGGGATTGGGAAAGGGGGGGTTACGAAATTGCTGCATGCAGCTGGTTTCGGCCTCACCGAGGGGCCCATTCCGATCGATACATTGGCGCCTCCGGCGCCGGGAGGCGCCGGGAAAATCAGCTACGCGAGCTGATTCTCAAACCCCCCCTTTGCTATCCCCCCCTTTCGCCCGACCCGATTGTGGGAGCTGGGGTCCGTACCCCCCCCGTGGTGGGGCCAGCGGTTTTTGCCGCCCTCCTCGCGCGAGCGTGGAGCCCTCCCAGCGGGGTCGGGGGCGTGGCTCCCCCAGCGTGAAGTCGGGCATGTCCCTCTACAGGAGGAGCATTCGGATTCGGAACGTCGAAAAACAGTCGGGGGACAATCTTTCTACTGCTTCTGAATTTTTTGTTTTGATCTTGTTTGATTGCTTTTCCTTTTTCTCCCACCTTCCGCCTGGGGCATGCCCGACCCAACCCCAGTAATGGTCGGTCGACGAGGCCCAGGCCGACGTGGCCGGGGCCGCCGATGAGCTGGTCGACCTGATACCGGGGCAGCGCCGCAAGGAGAAGTTCATGAGCCTGTCCTCGAGTTTTATTCAAGCAGTTTGGACCGTTCCGCCGACCCGCCGGAGAGGTCGCGCGCGCGGCTGCCGATGTCGTGCGTGCTGTTTGCCCGCTTCCCGTCGTGTTTTGCCCGCGTGCAGCTGTCGCTGGTGTGTCTTCCTCCGCGTCTGCCCGCAGATCTTTCGGGGGGGCCTCCTGAGGGATTCGGGGGAGGCCCTCCAGAGGCTTTTTCAAGGCTCGTAAAGGGGTCTGTTTGGCGCCCTCTTGGGAGCGTCCTGGGGGACCTGTCAGGGGTCTTGGGGGGCCATCTTGTGGGCAACGGCTTCCCGGGCCCCTGCGAGTTCCGCCCTCGAGGGCCCTCTTGAGGCCCTTCTTCGCCGCGGCAGCGCGACCTGGCATGGCCGCGAGGAGTGCTCGATTGCTTTAAGCCAAACAGCAAGAGACCTTCTTTGTCGTCTTGGGGGCATCTCAGGGCCCTCCTGGGCCGTCTGGGGGGCCCTCTTCGTGGCTGCTTGGGCCGTCGTGGGTCTGTTTGGGGGTACCTCGCGAGCCGATTCGGAGTTCACACAAGGCCCAAGCAAGGTTAAGTCGGGCACGTCCCTGTGTAGGAGAAATATTCCCAAATAGTTTAACATAGTCTGGGGACGATGTTTGGACTATTTGTTTTTAGCATGTTTGACTATGGTTTGACAAATGTTGTACCTGTCGTCCAAAATCCGCCCGTAGAAGGATATGCCCGACCTAAAAGAAAGGATGACACGAAACGCGAACGTGCTCCTACACTGTACGAAAACAACATGTGGTTCCTGTTGAGATTCAGGCCCTCGTGGGGGTTCCCTTGGGGCCCCTCTGGGGCGTCTTGGGGTCTTGCTGGGTCGTCTCGAGGGTGTCTCGAGTGTGCGTGAGGCCTCTCTGCACTGCCGAAGTCCCTCTGGAGCCAGCCTGCAAGGGGTGCTGCTTCTTGGGCATGCTGGAGGCCACGGGGGGGGGGGGGGCTTTCGGAGGCGCCGAGGGCCCTGGAAGTGCATTGACGAGCTCGCCCCCCTTTCCCTTTTGTCCTCCCCTCCTTGTCCTCCTCCTCCCCCCCCTCGTCCTTCCCCCTTTCCCCCCCTCGTCCTCCCCGCCCTCCCCTCTCTCCCCCCCTCCCCCCCTCCTCCCCCCCTCGTCATCACCCCCCTCCGCGTCCCCCCCCCCTTGTCATCACCCCCCTCCTCAAACGAGACTTCAGCCCCTGGGGGAGGGGGCAAGGGAGAGGGGGGGGCCGCGACAGGGGGCATTCCCCCAAAAAGGGCCTCGTCTTCGAAGAGGCCGAGGAGGTCGTCACCTCCTCCGCCGCGGAAGTCGGCGGAGGGGCGGCGGAAGTAGAGCGGGGCCGCCTCCGCCAGCGGAAGCCGGCGGACGGCTGGCCGAATGCGGCGGGAGTAGACATTGCGCTTCCTAGGGATGAGCACTCAGAGCCCCGAACCATCAAGGGTAACTCGGGTCAGGGCTAACTCGGGTTCGTTTTTCGGGATTCCGAACCCGACTTACCCCGGACCCGACTTACCCCGGATAATTCGGGCGTCCAGAGCCCCGAATCATCAGGGGTAACTCGGGTCAGGGCTAACTCGGGTTGGTTTTTTCGGGATTCCGAACCCGACTTACCCCGGACCCGAGTTACCCCGGATAGTTCGGGCGCCCAAAGCACGTGTGTGGGGTCAGGGTTTCTGGAGTCCGCCACTTGTCTCACCCGCCCTCTCAGCCCCCGCAAGCGGCGATGGGCGGATTTGTCTCCCGTATCAGATCATGCCTCTGGGTGGCGCCATCAGCAATGTGATGGTCTACATGAACGGCGGGTTTGTCTGGCACAATCCTATACAGCCAGATGATGACCTAAATACTTTAGAGTACCTTCCTGACCCTGTGAACGACAAGGCGTTAGAAGGTTGGGATAGAATTTGCATGTACATCGGAAAAGTGTGTGGGATTCTGAAGGCCTTTGGCTTGATCGCGGTTCCACTTGCTTCAACCGAGAACAAGGTGTTGTTTATGAAGCTTCTGATTGCCGTCAGTGCTGTAGGTGCAGTTGCCGAGGAGCTCCACCTAGTGTTGGAGACACCCAAGTTGGAATGGGAGCTCGAATGGAACATACTTGGAGCAGTGCGCATGATGTTCAGCTCTGTCCGTGAGTCGATCGGGAGGCTGAGCAGCCGTTTCAACCGATGCTCCAGGGCTGTCAGCAGAGCGCCGCGCAGAATGCTGAGGTGCTCCAGCGAGGTGCCGAGGAGGCTGGCGAGGACCGTGACCCAGCTGCGCGCGAAGGGCGGGAAGCAAGAAAGCGGAAGCAACCCTCCCAGCGAGGCCCCCGAGGAGTCCACGGGCGATACGAAGAGCACTCTGGGCGACGCCCCCGAGGAGGCGTGCGCGCCCGAGACGGCCGCGCGCGCTGGCGAGGTGATTGGGCGCTTCGAGCTGGGCCCTGCGCGTGATATCCGGCTGCCTACGGCAAGCCTTGCCGCCGAGCGGGCGCAGCAGCGCAGCTCAGAGGAGGAGGATTCAAACAGGCCATGTTGGATCTGTTAAGACTTAAATCGGGCACGTCCCTCTGCAGGAGGAATGTTCAAGAATTGTCGTAACAAAATAGTATGGGGGGACGATGCTTCTCATATTTTCGTTTCCATTTTGTGCTCCAAAATTCGCCTGTAGGAGGACATGCCCGACCTAATTTTCGTCAGAGGATGACTGCGCTTCCGAAGTCGTACAGGAAAGCAGCATACCAATACGCGTCAAGAGCTCCGAAAGTTTATGTATATGCAGTCTGTTGTCTGTTCTGCCTCGTCGGTACGGCTGGCTTCGCTTCGAACTCTTGGTCAGAAAGCACCCAGGAGAGGGCCGTGGAGTAGCTGCATCAGCATCCTGTCGCTCCCTGACTTTGTTGCCTTGTCGCCGTCTGGAGGCCAGACACCGCGCCCAGATCCAACCCAGTGGGTGGGGTCACGGGAGCGCGTGAGCATGGGATGGGGCTTGGCCGGAAAAAAAACACGAAAGAAATCATACCAGACGGCAGGGGAGCATTCTAACGCGCCCCAGCGTGCACAATGCACGGCCGCGGATTCCAGAGGACCTGGAGTTCGCTGAGAAGTTGGACCGCTCCAGCGGCTCCAAGGGCGAGGCTCGAGGAAGACACAACGGCATATATATATATATATATATACATATAGAGAGAGAGAGAGAGAGCCAGGCAGGCGCAGGGTGAGGATGAACGAATCGCTCTAGAGCTCCCTAGAATGAAGTCGGCCGTAGCCCTCTACAGGAGGAATATTCAAAAGTAGTCAAAATATGGTCTGGGGACGTTGTTTCGAGTATTTTGGGCAACTTTGGAGTGCTTGTTTGAAGTATTGTTTAAAATAATTTCGTCCAGAATCCGCCTGTAGGGGGACATGCCCGACCTAACTCTAGAATGCTCCAGACTGCCGGGTCTCATCCACATTCGTCCTCATCCGGATCGCGCTTGGGTAAACATGAACGCTCGAAGGCCAGCGCGGATTCTCGTCGGGCTGCCCTGGGCTCCCACGCACCCCTGGGCGGCGCCTCTGGCACCAGCCCAAGAAATCCGAGCGGACCTCGAGTTGGCCTAAGATGAACTGTGTGCATTGGGGAGTCGAACCTGCTTCCAAAGATGAACTGCGTGTATTGGGAAGTAGAACTTGCTCCCAACAAAAATCGAAGGCGTGTTTGGAAGCAGACGCATTTTGTTTTGGAGGCAGGTTCGACTTCCCAGTGCACGGAGTGCATCTTTGGCAGCAGGCTCGATTTCCCAGTGCACGGAGTTTGCGCTCTTGCCGTTCTGTGCTTCACTCTCAAGAAGGCCCCGGGCGAAGATGGGGCACAAGCGCGCGGTGCGTCCCGCTGCGGGCCTGGCGCGTGCCAGCTGACCACGGCCTGCTTCTCAGACGCACCGGTGGCGCAGGAGCTGTAGGCATGCGGGGCAAGAGAAGGCCAGCGCCCGCCCCAGACCCAGACTCCCTCGCGTCGTGCACAAGAGCATGTCGACCAGCCTCAGGGCACAGCTCGGAAGGAGAAACGAGAGACTAATCCCCGGAGAGGGGTTGGAGGAGGACGAGGAGGAGGAGGAGGAGGAGGAGGAGGAGGAGGAGAGGAACGTGGAGTAGGAGGAGGGGGTGGGGGAGGGGAGGGGGAGGATAAGAAGGACGAGGAGGAGGAATGGGAGGGGGTGGGGGAAGGGGAGGGGGAGGAGGAGGAGGAGGAAGAGGAGGAAGAGGAGGAGGAGGAGGAGGAGGAGGAAGAGGAGGAGGAGGAGGAAGAGGAGGAGGAGGAGGAGAAGGTGGTCCAGACCTCTGGGGGCGCACGTCTTGAACCAACATCAGGACGTTGTGGGCCCAGGATGCTGGAGGAGGGCCAACCCACGGCTCATTTCGACTCCTTCGATTCGATTCGTCTCGATTTCGACTGCTTCCGATTTTGATTCGGTTCGACTTCAGATTGTGAATTGGATTCCGATTTTTCAACGGAGGCCTACTAGCCCGCCGATTTCTGCCGATTCGACTGCTCCCCACTCGGCTGCCGACTTCCGCCGGTCCATCCCTTTCGATCGCCGATCCGATTCATCGATTCGGTTCTGGGCTCTACTGTTAAGCGAGGCCCTCTACAGGAGGAATATACAAAGATAGTCTGAAACGTCGTATGTTGACGATGTTTTGACTATTTCCGGGCATGGGCATGTTTCGAGAATGTTTGAGATATGTTTTTGATTTTTCGCCCACAGCCCTCCTGTATCAAGGGCTTACAAAAACGCCCCTACCCTGGTTTACGAGGCGCTGTGCGCTGAACCTCCTGTGGGCTGACAGGGTAAGCCCTGCGAATCCTGCTTGTAGCGCGGCAACCTGGCGGCTCTCTGGCCTTTGGGAGCGCCCAGGAGGTTTGCAGACCACGCACTTGTAACCCAGGGTAAGTAATGGGCTTGTTTTCCACCACCACCACCACCACCGCCACCACCACCACCACCACCACCACCACCACCACCACCACCACCACCATATGTTGGAGGGGGGAAGGAGGAGGAAGAGGAGGAGGAGGAGGAAGAGGAGGGGGAGTAGGACCCCCTCCTCCACCCCCTTGGCGGTAGAAAACAAGCCCACCGGTAGGGGCGTGTTTTTCGCCCCTCACTGTAGGGGGGTAGGCCCGACCTGCTTCTGGGCTCTGCCGCCAGCCGACACGAGCAGCGCTCCCCCCGCCCCCCCCCCCACCGCCCAGCGCCAAGGCGCCCCCATCTGGGCCCCCTCGCCCTCGGGGAGGCCCCTCGGCTCGCTCCCTCGAGAGGCGGAGGGCCCTCCCGCGGACGGGCCTTGCGCGGATGGGGGAACAAGAAGTGACATAAACATCAAATTTCGGAGGTCCGCGCGGATTTCTCGGATCGGCGCTGGACCCCCCTCCCTGGCGCGCGGAGCGCGGCAGGGGCGGCGCCGGAGGCGCCGCCGGGGGGCCCCAGCGCCGATCCGAGAAATCCGTGCGGACCTCCGAGTTTTTATGTTTATGTCACTTGTTGTTCCCATACCGTGGACGGGCCTTGAGCGGAGTCGGGCCAGTCTTGCACGCCAGTCGTTGAAAATAGGTATATCGGGATGCCCAGATTCCAATCTATGTTACGCGCCTTCCTACTTCAAGAGTTGAGCGGTGTTCCTCTTTCCTCTTCTTCGGGGGGCGGGCGGAAGTCCACTATACTTCCACCGCCTCCCTACTTCATGTTTCTACCCACTTCTTCCGGCCGGCGTGTGAGCCTCGGGGGCGGCGAAGAGGCCCCCTTTCGTGGTGGAAGCAGCTCGGCGGAGGGCTCTCTGAGCCTCTGTTCTGGGCCTGGGTGCCTCCACGAGGCCCCCGGACTCCCTTCGGCAAGCTGCCGGGGATGAGAAACCAGTCCCAGGAGTGAGGTCCAGACCTCGGGGGCGGCCAAGAGGGGGGTGATGACTAGGGGGGGGGTATCCTGGCGCTTAGTGGGCCCTGGAAATGACAGGGCCGTTTTTTTACCGGTTCCGTTTTGCCGTTTTTGTTGCCGGTTCCGACGCCGTTTTTTTACCGGTTCCGTCGCCGTTGTTTGACCAGTTCCGGCTCCAGTTCCGATCCTGGAGCCGTTTTTTTGCCGTGTCCGGTCGCCTTTTTTTGCCGTTTCCATTTTCAATGGACGTTTTCCTGGAAACGGTGGAAAAAACGGCCCTGCCGTTTCCGGGGCCCACAAAGTCCTGGCGGTGGCCATGACATTTTCCCAGATTTCATGGCGCCTCTTCTTATTTCATTACGTCCCTGGCCCCCGCCCTGGGCCGCGCACATGCGGCCGGCCATGACTTGTGCCCTCCCCTCTTGGCCGCCCCCGAAAGTCGGGCAAGTCCCTCCACAGGGGGAATATTCAAAAAATCAAAACAATAGTCTGTCAGCGACGTTTCGATTCTTTTTGCAACCATTCTCGACTCTGTTTCGGCTATTGTTTTTCTTCGCCCAAAATCCGCCTGTAGGAGGACATGCCCGACCTAAGGCCAGTCGGGCGTCGCGTCTCGTGATCGTGTTCTTATTCATTGTTTTGCCGATCTCCGGGGGCCCTCGCACCCCCCCTTCACCCCCCATTGGAGCAGATCTTGGCTGTTCTCGGCGCCCGTTTTAACGCAGGTGGAGAGCCACCGTAGAACGCACTGCTGCAGACAGTCGCATCGAGCAGAGGTCCGGGACCAGACCCCCCCCCCTTTCCCCTCCCTTTCCGCCGAATGCCGAAACGCCAGATAAGAAAAGCGCCAAATTGATCTATTACTGACTTGAGACGATCTGGCA